AATTATAGCTATTTACATAAACTATGTACACAGGATTAAAATTAATGAGAGAGAGAGAGAGAGAGAGAGAGAGAGAGAGAGAGAGAGAGAGCGACAACACCGTCGCCTCAGGTTGGACTGTTATGTACGTATATTGTACATAAGAAATGGGATGAGTTGGAAAAGTGCTTCCCAGATTTACCTATTGAGATATTTATGGAGGTGTTGGAGTTCACATCCATGACTGGCTATTTTAAATTCGTAGATGATGTTTGTAAGGAGAAACATGGTGTCGCCATGGGAGGGGTTTTATCACCAATTCTGGCTGATTTGGTGATGACTGATTTGTTAGAATGGTTGTTACTCCAACTCCCCTATAACATAAGATTTTTAACTAAGTACGTCGATGACCTTTTGCCTATTGTACTAAAGGAACATTTCCAAAAGACCTTTTTAACTCATATCATACTTCGCTTAGATTTACATTCGAAATGTAGAAGGATGGAAAATTGCCTTACTTAGACAATCGTTGAAAGAGACAATAACAAGCTCATAACAGATTGGTATAGGAAACCTACTCATAATGATTCGTATATGGATTTTCCCTCATCTCATTCATTTGCTCTAAAGGTTAACTGCGCCGATAATTTAGTGATCCTAGGTTCGTAGAAAAAAATGTAAATATAGTTAAAAGAATCTTAGTAACAAATCATTAATCCATTGGCACTTATTGGCAAACTTATTAATAAATTCAAGATTAAGAGGAATAACCCTGATGGTCTCCCGTTGTTGGATGTTGAGGTGGTACCTATTTCAACTTCGATTGGCTTTAAGTCAATCACTTACAGTCCTGGTGTGACTCAGAGAATTAAAATGTTAATGCCTAATAAATTAAAGGAAAAAATTGCTTATAAATACCAAAATAATCTATCTAGTCTTCACAATGTTTTAAAGTCTAAAGTCTATTGGTTCACGGTCTAATGTGTTTTATAGGGTGTCCTGTGGTGGTTGCAACGTTCGGTATGTGGGCCAGACTAAGCAGAAAATTGATGTTAGAATGAACCAACATAGATTGAATTGCATTCATAAAAAGTTAGCCACAGGGTTGTCTACTCATGCAACAAAAAACGGCCATTTTTTCAAGTTGGACTCCCGGAAATCTATTTTCACTGCGTAAAATGTAGTATGCTGGTCATGTGCTTCATAACCTTAAACCCAAAACGCTTTTACAATAGTTTTCCATGTTAATAGTTTTCTGCACTCTTGGGAAAGTATGTATACTATTTTATTTTGTTAACAGTTAATTGTATATTATTTATTTTAATTTTTAATAAATAGGCCGTAATGATGGCACTATAAGTTGCGGAAAGCTTGGTGAACCCAACAATTAGTCTTCTTCTATTTTTAAATGTGCATACAAATTGACATAATTATTATTATTTTTGCCCTGATAGTGATCTTAAAATAATTAAAAGAGTTTTCGTAAATAATATTATTGGAACAAAGAAATGCTTGTAAGACTATTTAAGCATTACAATCGCGGATTACAAAAATCCAAAGCCTACATTTTGTCTTAATGGCTATTGAATACATCATTACTATATAAAACATGATCAAGTATTTTTATATAAAGAACACACACTCTGAAATCATACTCAATCTTTATTTTTCAAACTTTTACATTTCGTTTCGACCTATTTAATATTCCTCGGGGGGCGCGGTAGCTAGCGTTGAGAGACTCTCGGCTCGTAGACCCCGCGGACGTGGGTTCAATTCCCGCCTCTGGCCTTTATTTATACCCTTACATATACAATACCCTTCCCCCCAAAAGGAATACGCATAGCATATTGTCTGGCATTGCAGCATAATATGCATGTATAAACACGACTCATAGGCCAATCTGTCGAATTTTCCCGGTCCACAATCGGTAAGGTTTGTTGACAAGGAGTGCACAACTAGCAGTCACTCAACAAAATTTCGCAACTTCCACGACAGCAAAAACCTTTTTGGGATATTGATTGATTTAGAATTTCCAAACAGATATATTAGTTTAAAGTCGGCAGACGAAACAGGAGGATATGTAGTTCCACAATTAGCAGCAATCCAACAAAATTCCACGTCAGCTTTCGAATATATAGCCTCATATACAGGGTGTCCTTTTTAGATGGCCGGCTGAATTTCTCTTGAGGTAATGAAGCTATCAAAAAAATGTCAGTTTCATATTTTTCAGTTTAGTTTCAAATTTTTACTTTTTTTTGGGAGAAAAATTATACAGGGTACCTCAGGCCCAGTGCAACCTCAAAAGTTCAAATACGACCCTATACATCTTGACATATCATATTAAAGAAAGATTTACGCTGAAAACAATGGTGCAATTGGATTGGTCAAAAATGACAGTCATGGCAAACAGTTAGAAAAAAAAAATGTCATTTGCTTTTCTATTTATTCATCACATTTCATGTTCGACCTGTCTGCCTTGCGTAAAGATGCAATGATTTGCTTTTTTAACCACTCTTCACCGGTGCTCAGAGCGATAGAGTCAGGGGAGATGGATTGACAAGCATTTGCAACAGTTCTTCAACTTAGGTGGCTGGGTCATGATTGACTTAGACACTGTTTCTTAAATGGCTCCACAGAAAATAGTCAAGTGGAGTTAAATCGGGTGACCGAGGAGGCCAACAGATCCGGGCCATGAGTTCCTATCCACCTATCCCGGAAGTGGCGATTCAAATAACGCCTCACCTGCAAAAAATTGCGTGCGGGCATCCATCAAGCTGGAGAATCATTCTTTGTATTTGTTGCAGAGGAACATCATCTAATAATGTTAGTAAAATCCTTCAAAAAATGGAGCAACTGTGCCATGAAATGAGGCCCAATTAATTTATTTCCGAGAAGTCTACACCAAACGTTGATACTGTGAACCACCTGATGATGACAAGAGTACGAAATTCTAGGATTTTCCTCTACCTACATTCGAAAATTTCAACGGTTTAGTGTGCCATTAGAGGTGAACGTGGATTCATCAGTCAGTAGGATGTATGGAAGAACGTCTTCATCAGCCTCCTAAATCGACATTTGTGCAAGAAACGTTAAACGCCTGTCATAATCAGAATACCAAAGTCCCGGGACAATATGAGAACAGTACGGCTTAAATTAAGTCCGGAGTACATCTCTAATTTTATTTTTCTAAAAAATCCTGCCAATATTTCAGAGTGAAGAATTCAGATTTTCGCGAACATACAATAAAATATTCATCACCTCGTCGAAATTATGCTGCCTGTTTCTTAGTGACGGAAGAAGAGCAACCGATCCGTATCACCTTACATTGCAAGCAACACGCATTTTGTGGTTTCGGTGATTGGGAAATTTTTGGAAGTTCACCTCGACTGTACAACGCGCTATGCCACCACTATAAAAAGCAGCAATAAAGCAGTCGAAGCTGTTGATCGGAAAAACTTGCTTTACGGTCCATTTTGAATGGAATACTGAATGTAACGAATAGGTACTATTGTAAAATTTATTGACTTCCAGGAATTAAGATTTGCTCTCATAATGCGAGTTTGAAAAACAATGACAGAATGTATGCAATAAATGCAATAGCAAGAAGATGAATGCAATTTAGTGAAGAAGCAAATTATTGGAATTAAGAACGAAACAAACGAAATGCGTTTTTTCAAACTTTTTGCCATAACTATTTTTTTAAGCAATTTAAAAATCCTATAGCACCATTGTTTTAAAATCTTTTAATATGATGTGACAGGCTGTATAGGGTCGTATGAAATTTTGAAGTTGAACTGGGCCTGCGGTACTCCATATAATTTTTCTCCAAAAGAATTTAAAAATTTGAAACTAGATTAAAAATATTAATAATATTTATTCGGAAATCGTGAGATGCGGTCTGGTGTGATGTAGATTTTAGAAAAAACATTTTCTTTACCGTGCCACCGTTTCGGTTTTTATTGAGATCATCTTCAGGGCCTGGGATTTACAAACATCGTTTAAATTTAATAAATGCATGTATGTGGAAAAAGTGAATTGATACAATGCAAAATATATTTTTTATATTCAATCAAAGTATTTCTACTCACTCAAAGTGTTTGTTTTCTGCGTAATTGTGCCATTCTTGCGTGTCGTGTTGAGAGTGCGGTGATTTGATTGCTGTTTTATATTTATATACGTTTGATTTTGAAGGGGGTGGGCCTTCCCAGGCCCTGAAGATGATCTCAATAAAAACCGATAAAAGATCTAAACGTTGGCACGATAAAGAAAATGTTTTTCTGAAACCTACATCGCAACAGACCGCATCTCAAGATTTCCGAATAATCATCGACTAACGGTCACTAATCACCACATATTAATAGTATTTTTGGATTTTTGATAGAGTCATTGGTTCGAGAGAAATTCAGCCGTGCCACCTAAAAATAATAAAAGTTACAGTTTTTAGTCTGACAGACTAAATTAGTGCGGATGTACGGACCAGGATAATTACTCTACCACTGTGACTGCCATTGGCCATCATGCCATTTCAGTCTGCTGAATTGATGTAAGTCAGCACTTCTGTTTATTGCGGTTAATTTGCTAATTTCAATGTACACTTTTCTATTAAATAAATATACCTAATTTTAGATATTTATTTTAAAACATTAATTGTCAATTTTGAATTAGTCTGTACTGACTGTATTGACTCTATACGTCTATGCTTTTTGATTATCATGTTGGTACAACTACACATCAAATATCGAGACGTTTTGTTGGACGGCCGTCAAACAGGGATGGCAAAATGCCGAATCGCTAACGACCAAAACATAGAGCGGTTATAGGCGAACGTGTCGTTCATGGTCGTCAAATGCTTGAAAACGACATCCTATGATAAATGACTCTAATCACCATTTCCTTTAATGTCATCAAAAACTTTTCCGGATAATTGAAATTGTTTAAAACTATTCTATCGTCATAAACATTTAATAAGCCGAAAAACATTACAGGAACGTCGGAGATGATTTGTTACTTATTTGTTTCAGTTGATTCTGCGGGTGGTTGTCGAACAAGGAGTAGTCGACGTTCCCCTCACGCCGGATACGACATGCCGTGATGTAATTGACTGCGTGCGAGATCCTGGTGAGGAGCACTGCACACTCGTCCATACCTGGGGCAATTATTGTAAGTTTCTTTGTATAATCTTGTTATTCGTGGTTCAACGTACTCATTTGTATAGTCAAATGTTTGAAAGCGATTCGTAAACTTAAAGCTCCATCGTTATAAAACGAAATGACTTTCTTAAAAACTTTCTGGACCAATAATATGTACAATTTAAACACAATGAGAATTGTCGGCCTTTCTTTCTAAAATTTAACAATTCTATAACAAAGGTACATAAAATGTAATGTAATGAAGGTTGCGGAGAGCAAAAATATAATAATGGGACAAAGTGGTCCAGGAAGAATGCTTTTGCCAATTCAAGTCTGCTTCTATGTTACGGTTTGCAAGGCTCCCGGGGCTAAAAGCAAAACGGTGTACCATTGTTTCCTTTGATAAAAATCCCTTACAAGTCTAAACTAAAAATTTATATACACCGGGGAGTTTATACGACTCCTTCAGGAACAAATACTTGACCCGATTTGAGCCACTTTGTCTCGGAACCAAGAAACAACGGACTGATGGATTATACAAGCATTTTAAATGCAGACGAATATTTATGGGCAAATTAATAACAATTTAATACAGTTTATTAATATTATAGTAATAGTCACTTGACTGTACAATAATTTATAACTTTTTGAATTTCAGTAAACGTAAAAGTACATCACCTTGACAAAACTATGGCAATTAATGTTGAAAGGTAGTAAAATATACCTAAGCCATAACAGTTACACAATAAAAAAATGCAAACCTTCACCCGATTAAGAATAAGTCATATTAGTTTAACCGAAGTTTTGACGAGAGATCAAAGAGGCCGCATTGCAACCAAACAGGATTTATAACTTTATTGATATTTAAAATAATTTTTATATGGCATCATTAAATATTTATTACGAAGTTCAATAGCCTTAAATTTTTATTGATTTTACAGAAAAATCGTATCGTAAATTCCGTCTTTTGTGAATTTAATAAATACCTTACAATTAATTAAGGTTTTTAGTTGAGATGAAAAAAAGTTAATGGCACGAGCGCGATTCGAACCGACATTTGAAAAATGGCAAAAAGGAGGGAAAACTGTTAAGGTGGGGTTGAGATAGGAAGTTGATGTCCGAGTGAATCGAGGTCACGATAGCTCAAGTGGTGGAGCAGCGGCGTATCTAGCCGAAGATCGTGGGTTCGAATCCCGCTCGTGCCATTAACTTTTTTTCATCTCAACTAAAAACCTTAATTAATTGTAATGTATTAATTGGTCAAGCGGACCACGAAATTAGTGAATTTAATAAATACCCCGAATGCGTGCAAAAAGGACTTTTTGTTTGAATTTCAATAAACAAGAAAAATTATTTCATCCTAATTACATTAACTGTAAATTATCTACACCGATGTAAAATTAACAAATACGAATCGAAGACCTAAAAGAGGAGTCAGTCGGTGGCCGCAACGGTTTAGGCGTTGACACGTTTTCATTGTAAGGTAAAGGCCCGGGTTCGAATCCACAGGCCCTGCATACTAACCCGAAATACTAACAAATGGGCTTTTTGCAAAAAACACCGTCCCCCAAGGGTTCAATAACATCGAGTGGAAATAGTTCTCTATATATATCTATCTCTTTCTTTTTCTATTTATTTATCTATTTCTCCACCTATCTATCTATTTTTATTTTTAAAATAAATAAAACCGTATTCATTCATTCGCTCATTTTATCTCTCTTTCTATTGCTATCTATCTTTCTTTCTCACCTCTCACACTCTGTCTCTGCCTATCTATCTCTTTATCTCTTTTTCTTTATTTTTCAAACTTTCTCTCTCTTTTTCTGTTGGTTTATCTATTTATCTATATCTCGTGAAGTGATTAACAATCAATCAATCAATCTATTGTCTTGTAATAATTTTTTTCCATTAAATTATTTCCTTTACTACCGTTTATTTGTTTACAATTTTCCACCATTTCTTTCTACATTTGTATACTGTACTATACTGTATTTTAACATTTATTTACACATACTTTCCCACATAATCCCTCTCCCTCACTGTAATTCCATTGTGGCTACACTCTTTAATATCTCTCTCTCCTCTCTCTCTCTCCTCTCTCTCTCTCTCTCTCTCTCTCTCTCTCTCTCTCTCTCNGTAGATGACACAGCGGTGTTATCACTAGGACCGACTATCACCCATTCAACCAAAGTCCTCCAAAATGCATGTAATAAGATAAAACGAATGGACAAAAAAATGGAAAATCAAGCTAAATCAGCATAAATCAGTTCATCTAATATTTACAAACACAAAGGTAGACCATGTTCCGTCGCTCACAATCGATGGAACTACTATACATAGGTATATAGGTAAATATCTGGGAAACCTAAGATACCAAGCTGAGATGGAAAGAACACGTGAAGAAAAAAAGGACAGAGATAGGTTTAAGGTATAGACAACTATACTGGTCGATAGGACGTGGCTCCAACCTTGCTATACAAAATAAGTTATTATTATAGTCATAAAGCCTATGTGGACATGCGGTATTCACCTATGGGGTGTCCCAAACACAGCAATATCAAAATCATACATACACTCCAAAATAAAATCTTACGTAACATGGTCAATGCACCTTGGTACATAAGGAATAAGTACTTACATAGAGATCTTAAGATCCCTGAGGTCACACCGGAAATACAAAGATTTGCCGCCGAACCAGGGTCGCCTCAGCTATCACGAGAATGTGGAAGTGACCAAACTTTTACATAACCGAAACATGGTCAGAAGATTAAAAAGAACAAAGCCAAATGAACTTGTGTAGTTAAAAAGGAATAGTGAATAGTGAAATGAAAATCTCATTGTACCAATGGGTTTATAAGAATGTAAACATTTATTTATTCTATAATATTATTGTAAAATTAATTGTCGGTCTAATAAGACCAGTTTTAATAAATAAATTTAATTAAAAAAACACTAATTATATATAATATTCGCAACGTTGACAGACGGGGAAACTCTACCATTTCCCTTTCAAATCGAAACAAGGGACGCAAAACCCACCCCTCGTGATCAAGGACTGTCTTTTTATCGGGTACTAGCCTACTCGCTCCCTGTAGGGGGCCAAGACAATCTTCGACCAAGTGTTACACACTGAGCAACATACCTCCACAAGCGGGACAGCAGCAGTAGCTTTTTGTTAATAATAAAACACCAGCGCCAAAAGCACCGGATTAGTGTGATGCCTTCATTGCGTTTCAGACCTTTCGTGGGCCATTGGTAAGTCCTGCTCTTGACACGCAAGAGCTTTTCGGACGATCCATTAACATTGCCAAAGTTCTATTGCGTTCGTATCTGTTCGCACAGCGTCACCGGGCCGCGGTGGTTCAGTCTGGAGGGCAAGACGTTTGTGATATATCTTTCTCTTGAACGTAATCCCCGGGTTGCATGGACCCCAGCCTGACTCGGAATGTACAATTTAAAGAAAAAAATCGCAACGTTTTACTTTTCAGACAGATTTCTTGGCTTTTCGACAGTATAACATGTTCAGGTGATGTCATAACCTTCTCGAAGTCAAAGAACACACCAGAACATATTGGTCATTTTATTGCACAATATCTTATTTCACAGAAGGCTTTTGAGTGTTTTTAATTTTTAATTTTAATATATGCGTTAAAACTCTTTTTCGGAGTTTATGTTAATTAACAGTCAACCAATAAACTTAGGCTGTACTTGATGAAGCAGATTTATCGTTACATCGCACGGTAAGAGAATAGAGGGTGTTCATTGCCTACTTCTTTAACCATGGAACTGTAAAACCTCTAAACAGAATATCTCCAGGTGGGGTCATACGCCTTCTCTACGTCAAACAACATGGCCAGAACATGTTCGTTGTTCAGGAAAGGTTCTGAACTACTCAACAGGCATGAACCACCGCAGGGCCTGCCTACTGAATCACGCCTGACACGGTCAGTTTTATTGCTCACTGTCTTAGTTAAAACAACGCTTTTCGGAGTTTTTTCAATATTTTTATTTTAGGTACTTGCGTTGAAGCTGTTCTTAGCTGTGAAGCTGTTCATGTACGAGATAAAAATTACTAGGCAATCAATAAAGTTAGGCAGTACAAGATGAAGTAGTTCATCGTAGTGTAGCATAGTTTTTTACACTCAACAAAATCGTTGAATGGGGGGGGGTTGAGATGGGAAATTAGTGTCCGAGTGGATCGAAGTCACAATAGCTCAAGTGGTAGAGCAGCGTCTCTCCTAACCTCCACTTCTTGCAACAATCTTCTGCTTGGATAGCATTCCAATTAGAGAACAAATTGAGTCCACATTTGGGGTTGGTGTTTTTGGGTTGTAGTACGTCAGCTGAATAAATTCTATTAAGGATGGGACCAAGATTGCTCCCTGGTGGGACGCCAGCTTGTACCTGTTTGTCATCCAAGAACTCGTTGCCTCACCTCACTTTGAAGCAACAGTCGGTTAAATAGGATTTCACGATATGGTAATAAGGAGTGAGCAGGAGGCGTTTAGGTTTATAAATCATTCTCCGGTGCTAGACCCTATCAGTAGCCTGTACTACATCTAGATACGCACCCATGAAATATTCTTTATTCTCCAGAACGCAGGAGATAGTGTCGACAATTTTCAAATCTCCTTGGATGGGTATGAAACGCTTGTAATATTATAATTACCCAATTCACTAGGTTTCGTGGTCCGCTTGACCGATTAATATCTTTCACTTAATTAAGGTTTTTAGTTGAGATAAAAAAGTCAATGTCACGAGCAGGATCTTTATCTGAACCAAAACCTTAATTAATTGAAAAGAATTTATTTGGTCAAGCGCACCACAAAACCTAAAAAAATAAAAAAAATAAAATTCAATAGAATGTTGAAAAAAAGTTCAATCAGCAAAATCCAATATTTTTGTTAACCAGCACTTCATTTAAAATTTTATGTTATGTTGTAATAATTATTCAGAAATTGAACCACTTGTGAATAAGGGTTAATAACGCTAAGCCTCTAAAATTATCTAACATTATTTTACTCATATATC